CTGGCGCAACCGCCTCGCCAGCTGGCGCCCGGGCCCAACATCACAGCTCAAGTGCCGCGCGGGACGAGCCATCGTCCCCCATGTGGGTGCTCCACTGCCGCACCAGCAGTGTTCCGCGCGCGGCGGCTCCGCGAGCCCGTCCCAGTGCACACAACGCGGAACAAGCAGCATCGGCGGCCGTTGCGGCCGGAGACGAGCGCCCGTGTGAAGACGGTGCGCCCCTCGAAAGCAACGCCGAGCCGCGGCCCGTGGGCGCGGCGGCGGCAGCGATAGGGGAGGGCAGGGCGCTGCCATGTGGCTCGGCGGGCAGCAGCGCGGGCAGCAACAGCCCTGGCGGCGGGAGCGCCCGTGCCGTGGACAGTAGCGCCGGCAGCGCCGGCCGGGCGTCACGCGGGCGCGCAGGTGCTGCGCCGGCTGCGAAACCGGATGCGGCGTCACACGCTGAGGTAGGGCCGGACAGCAGCGGCAGCTTCTGCAACCTGGCGCCATCGGCGGAGCCTTCTTATAAGGAGAGCATGCGGCTGGGCATTGAGCAGCAAACGCAGCAGGCGGCTTCTGCCACGCTGCAGGGCGCGGCGCGCGCACAAAGTTTGGCGGTGCCGTCTGCAGCTGAAGATTCGGTGATCTCGACAACGGCTGCTGTTGCGATGGGCAGCGGCGAAGCATGCACAGTCGGGGTGCAGCCGGCGTCGCCGGGGGCAAGTGCCGGGATTTGCTCGCAAAGCAGCAGCTTCAGCGGCGGCGCGGGTGGCGGCAGCGGTCATGGCGGCGGCGCTGGGGGCAGTGGGGCCGGTCGGACTCGCTGCAAGCGGCAGGGGGGTGCTGGTTTCACGCCAGCCTCCTTTGAGTCTGCACCGGCAGGATGGGGGCAGGCAGCGGCAACAAGTGTAGCGGACAGCAGCGGCGGTGTTCTGCATGCGGGGCTCGTGCTGCACGAGAGGCCCATCGAACACCAAAACGCGCAGCAGCAGCAGCAGCAGCAGCAGCAGCAGCAGCAGCAGCAGCAGCAGCAGCCGCAGCAGCAGCGGCCGCAGCGGCACCCCTCTTCCCCGTCTCCGGGCTCTGAGCACGGATTGCCCGGCCGCTCGCCCGCGGGCGCCGCGCAGTGTCCGGGCAGCCCTGCGGTGCGGCGGTTGCTCTCAAAGGTGCGGCGGCGGCAGGCGCAGGTACTGCAGGGTCTGACACGCGCTGCTGGGGCCACAGCGGCTAGCGGCTTGGACCAAACGGGCGCAGACGCAGCAGCCGCCGTGCAGCCGAGCGCGTCAGGGCCGGCGGCGGCGCGATCACGCGCGGAGGTGCCTGGACTACGGCTGGTCGAGGGCGGCGATGTTGCGGCGGCGGGGCCTCGGATTGCAGCGGTGGGCGGCGCGCCGCGCGTCGGCATGTTTGGTGGCCATACCACAGCCGCGCCCCGGCGGCCGGTGGCCGTTGCAGTGGATGGCGCGCATGCAGACGGCGCCCCGGGCGACGATGGGAGTTGCAGCCCGAGCAGCAGCGGCAGCTGCGGCACCGACGGCGGCGGCGACGCGGCGGCCTCCCCACCTTCGCGGCCCACCCACGCGCCCGGCGGCTGGCAGCAGAGCGTGAGCGCGCTGCTGGCCGCCGCGGACGGCTTGCTGGCTGCCGCCTCGCGGCCGCAGCCGCCGCTGCTTTCGCCTGGCCTGGCCCGGCCGCAGCAACCGGCTCCGGCTTGGCAGCGATCAAACGTAATGGGGACGGTCGCCCATGGCGGCAGCGAGCCAGGGGTGTCGGCCACATCTGTGGCGCAGCTCCTGGCGAAAGCGGCGGCGCCGGGTGCACTGCACTCTCAGCGGCGGGCTGAGGCTCGGGCGGCGAAGCAGGCTGCAGCCGAGGCGGTGGCCGCGGCTGCAGCGGCCGAAACGAGCAAAGCGTTGCAGCAGGCACATCACCAACAGCAGCAGCAGCAGCCGCAGCGGCGGCGGCGGCAGCGGGCGTCGCCGCCCCGGCGGCAGCGGGAGAGCGTCGGGCCAGCAGGTGTGCAGCCTCACGAGGCGTGGCGCACCAAACCCTCCTCCATCTATAAGCCTGGGCCCTCAGCGCCGCGCGGAGCGGCATCAGACAGTGGGGACGACAGCCATGCGCTGTTTTCTAAGCCGTCCGGCAGCGCGACGCGCTACCCTGCGGCCGCCCCGGGCGACCACGCCGCCAACCCCGCACGCCGAGCGCCGCCGAGCGCGGGCGCGGACGGGGCGGCGCTCGCTGCCCGGGGCGCGCGGGGGGCCGTGGAGTGGGCGCTAGGTGCGGTGGAGGACGCGAGTGACGCCTGGACGCACACATTTGTGGACAAGCTGCCACGGCAGCTAGCGGCGCGGCCGCAGCAGCACATGCCAGCTGCACCACTGGCCTTTCAAGGGCGACAGGCGGCAAGTCAGCAGCGACAACCACCGCAACAGCAGCAGCAGCAGCAGCAGCAGCAGCAGCGGCGGCAGCAGCAGCAGCAGCAGCAGCAGGAGCAGCAGCAGCAGCCGCCCGAGGCGCACTCGCCGCCGCGGAGACCAACCCGACCCGCTTTGGTGCTGGCCCCGCCACTCGAAGCGGCGGCGGCGGCGGCAACCAGCGCGGCTGTCGACAGCACGAGCCCTCCGCGAGCCGCGGCGCCGACTTCGCCAGGCAGAGTTGAGCGCGCATTTTCACCTTGCGCTGCCGCCGCCGCCTCGCCTCCGGCCGGCGGGGCCGGCGGCGTGCCGCCGCTGCTGCAGCCCGGCGGGTGGCGCCAAATGGCCTTCGTCCCCCCTGCGCGCTCGTACGCGCGCGGCGGCCGCGCCGGGACGGTAGCAACGGCGGCGGCAGCAGCAAGCAGCATTGCGTCCGCGCCCGTGCCGAGCCAGCGTTGCTTGGCGATTGCCGCCTCGCCGCGGACGTTTGAGGCGCCGGCCCGCGGGCGCGGCGAGCCCGGGCGCGGCCCGTCGCCGGCGCGTGCGAGCGGCAGCGGCGGTGGTGGCGGAAGCGTGTTGGGTGGCGACCACTGGAGCCCACCGGGGGCGCCCCTTGGTGCGGGCGTTCGCCACTCTGTTTTCACCATCCACGCAGACCTGCCTGCTCCAGGCACCCGCCAGTCGTCCGCACGCGCCCCTGCGGTGGCGCCCGCGCCGTCGCCGAGGGCGGACTCCGCCGGCCGGTGGTCGCTGCGGCGGGCGCGAGGTGGGGGCAGCGGCGGGCCGGCTCTGAGTGGCAGCGGCTGCGGCGGCGGAGGCGTTTTGAGCAGGGTGGGTGGGAGCGGGGCGGACCAAGGGTCGCCGCCGCGGCGCGATCACAGCAGCGGCGAGCCGCAGAGTCCCGGCTCGCGACGGCGCGGCGGCGGGGCACTGGCAACCGACTGCGCCCGCGGTCCGGCGGCTGCGCCCGACCCAGGCGACGTGGCCTGCGCCAAGCCACGCGCCGGTGCCGCCGCGCGCCGCTTGGACGACGGCCGCGCCGCCGCGGCGACCGCGCTGGCCGCGGCGGCGACCGGCTGCCTCGGGTTCAGCGCCGCGCAGCGGGAGGGCACGCGGCGATGGCTCCGGCGGGCGCTGCTGATTGACCTAACGGAAGTCGAGGAGTTGAGGGGCCTCCTTGACAACCCACTCAGGAATGGGCAGCTGCTGTCTGATGTGGCGGCCGCGCTGACCGGGCGGGCGGCGACCGGCATCCGCGGCGGCGGCGGCGGGCGCGCGCCGCGCACGCTGGACGCGGCGCGCCGTGGCGTCCTTTCTGCCCTCGAGGCGCTGGGGATGGTCGGGCCAGCGTGGCGCGAGCAGCAGGCGGCCCGCAGCGGCGGCGGCGGCGGCGACGGGGCGGCCAGGGGCTGGCGGGGGCCGTCCCCGGATCGGGGCGCGAGCGGCCCTCGCCCCCGCTCGCGCTCCCGCTCGCCGGACGCGCCCGTGTGGCAGACGCAGCTCGTCGGCCGCTGCGTCGCGCCGACGCGGCGCCGGGGCAGCTGTGGGGGCGGGGGCGGGGGCGGAGAGGGCAGCGGCGACGGAGGCCATATGGACGAGGATATGATGCAGCTGGCCGAGAGGGTGCTTCAAGGGGACCCCGCCTCGATTTGGGGCCTCCTCTATGCGATCCGCCTCCACTTCCCGCAGCCGCCGGACGCCGCCGCCGGCCCGGGCGGGCGCGCAGCTGCGCGGTCGCCGCCGCGGCGGCGACAGCAGCAGCAGCAGCAGCAGGGCGGGCATCTAGACGCGCGCTCGCCGCCCTCGGCGGGCCCCAGCTGGCGCCAGGTCAGGCTGCCTTTCAACGCTGAAGACCTGGAGAGGTGTGAGGGCTGACAGCTTAAGGGCGACGCAAACTCACTGGCGCAGCACACAAGGGGAACCCCGCTCGCCCCGCCCCCCCCCCCCCGGGAACGAGGGCAGCTGCTAGGCGTGCAGCCGGCCGGGCCGTGCTTTCCGGCGGGGCGGGGGGCAGCAGAGCCGCGCATGCGGGGACCGTTGATGTTCACCTCTGAATGACTTTCAGCTGCCGGACATCTGACTCCTCTGACGCCTAACATAGAAGCTTCCTCCCCCGCTAAATCCACAGGAGGGAGCAGTCAGCCCTAGAGTGGCTGCTGCGCCTCGGCCTCCTGCCGCCAGTGGACGCACGCGCCGGCGCGCCCGCGCTCGCGCCGCGGCTGTCGAGCGGCGCGCTGCTCTGCGCGCTCGCGTCGCGGCTGTCGGGCACGCCGGTCGGTATGGACGCGCGGCCGCCCGCGGCGGCGGCGCGGGCGGGCAACGTGCGGAGGGCGGTCGAGGCGCTCAGGGGCCTGCCAGGGCTCAAATGCAGGTACGCCGCGTGGTGTGCCCAGCCCCATGAACATCTGGACCCATACCAGTACACGCAATGGCTCGGGGCTATATGGGTCCAGCTGCCCTCTACCTGAGTGCAGCTGCCTTGTCAGGGGCATCAGAAACAGGAGGTTTGCGGTGCCAGGGCAGAATGAGAGACGACCCTCGGCTCGATAAATGCGAAACCCTGCACCCTGGACCCTTTTTCGCTCACGGCGTCCGCTGCTGCAGGCTGCTGCACCCGCCGCTGTCTGCGTCCCTTGAGCGCGGCGAGTGGCCGGCGCTGCTGCTGCTGCTTCTGGAGCTGCAGCAGTGGCACGCAGCGAACGCAGGCAGCTGCAGCGGCGGCGCCGGCCGAGGCCTGGGCAGCGGGGGCGGCGGCCGCACGTGACACGCGCTTGCGCGCAACGACGATGGCGACGGCGGTTAGTGGCGGCGTCCCGAGTTTTGGCAGTCCCGCACTCCCCAGGTTTCCAGGCCTGCAGATGGTTTCCTTTACCATGTTGGAATCTTTCAGCAGCCCTTGTTGGACACCAACTGTGTACTCGTGTGTTGACATGTTTCCACAATCTTGTGTCGCATGGTGCGGCCAACTCAATCAGACTTCGTGTGCACAGAGCCCGCTGCTGCACACGTCTGCTGCTGCGCGTGGTGCTTGCACAGGGTTTACCATTTACAGCTTCGGCGCTTTTTGTATCGCCAGTGCGAACCGAGGCTTGAAGTGGGCTTTTTGGGCGCCGTAAACGGCGCTCTCGCCGCGCATATTGTGGGGCCGCAGTGTCATCAAACGTCCATTGGTTGATCGACATGGCACGACCCCGGTGCCCGATTCCGGGGGTGGCAGGGCAAGGTTTATGAGTTTTCCTCGACAAGTTGGAGGCAAGACAGTGCCTTGAAGTGTGACGGAGGGCGCTCGCGTGGTATGGCTGGCAGCAGGAAGGAAGACGTGCAGCCAGCCAGGACAAAAGGTGCCCTGCCACGCTGCTCCTTTGGACACAAGAATCCTGATCAGATCTTTCCCGATCAGATGCGCTCACTCAGCAGCAGTGGTTCAAGCTGATGACTCGCGGCGCGTATTATGTGGAAGTGCATCCCTTCCTGCCAAGCAACTGGCTTGGGTCATAGGCCGGCCGCTGGCGTGGCGCAGCGGTCCGCACAGAGACGTAGACGTACACACGAGCTCCATCTCAAGTGGTTTTGGTGCTCAAAAGTACAGCGCAGCCGCAAGCGCGCATGCGATCGCAAGTGCGAGATGAAAAATCACGGCGAAGACGGGCGGCGGCCATCCGCGTGCCCCATGACGCCTCACAGCCAGCCAAGTTTGTTCGAGATCGCTCGAGACCACCCGCCGCGTTCGGGCGAGGGTGCAGTGCTGCAGTGTAGAGTATAAAAACGCGACGAACCCTTTCAGCGAGCGGCCGACTGGCCCATCAACCCAACGACGCTCCCCACCTTGGCCACAACAGACGCCCGGCCCCCCGTCCCGTTCGCCCTCTGCCCGTTCCCCGCGGCGGCCCCAGGGGCCGCCGCCGGCTCTGCGGCAGCGGCAGCGGCGGCGGCGGCGGCGGCGACGAGGCCGGCTGCGTCCTGCAGGGCGCCCCCTGCGCCATCAAGGGCATCGGCCCCCGCATACAGCGCCGTGCGGCAGCCCATGTGGCTCCAAATCGCCGACCGCAGCCCGTTGGACGCCGCTGCGACGGCACCCGCCGCGCGCCGCAGCGCCACGGCGCCCACTGGCGCGGGGGACGGCGGCGACGGCGCGGCGGCGGCCTGCAGCGCGATCGCGATGGAAGACAGGGCGTTGGCGGCGCCCGCGAGCCAGTCTGAGTTGGCGGAGTTGGGACCGCCGGCGCCGACGCGCAGCGTCGCCGCGCCGCCTGAAGCCGCTGCCGCTGCCTCGCGGAGCGCCGCGGCGACGGCTGGCGCGCTCGTCGCTGCGCCCGCGCGGCTGAGCGCGGCAAGCACCGCAGCCGACGCGTCGGCAGGCGTCCGAAAGCCCGGCACCCCGCCGGCCGCGACCACCCGGTCTGTGCCCGCCGCGCCCCTGCCGACGCTGCCGCGCGAAAACGTCTGCGCGTTCTGGGCGTCAACGCGCCTGATGGCGAGCGCCACGCTTGCGAACGCCGCCGCCGCCACGAGGCCGACACGAGTCTCTTTACAGTTCTGCACCTGTGCTCGTATCGCCTGTGCCCGATCAACCACAACCCCAAGCGCGCGCAACTGCTGCTGCTGTTGCTGCTGCTGCTGCTGCTGCTGCTGCTGCTGCTGCTGCTGCTGCTGCTGCTGCTGCTGCTGGTGCTGCTGCCGCCGCCGCTGCTGCTCTGGCCGAGCCTTGACCGCCAGCATCGCCGCAGGCGCCGCGCCGCGCCTTGCGGCCGCGGCCGATTCCTGCCCCTCGCGCTTGCCGCGCCTCGTGCCCGTGCCTGGGCTGCGGCTGCTGCTGCTGCCTTTGGCGCTGCTGTGCTGGTGCGCCGCCTGCGAACTCAACACTTGTTCCTCCATCTGCGGTACGTTGATAAGTGGCAGACGATGATGGGCACAGCAAGGGGGTGTGATAGGCTGCAGAGCAACATTCCTGCGCCAGGTTTCCGTGTGGAAGGCAGCGGCGCTAACGCCGTCAGCCCAGCGGCTAAGCTGCCCCGTCGTCAGAGCCCTCCACTTCCGCGCCGCTGCGCATGCGCACGCATGCGCAGCTCGTGTGACTGCCGGGCAGCCATTCACCTTGCGCCTGCGCCATGCGACGCTCGCGTGGGCGGGGTGGCTGCCCCATGCCGCGACCAGCAGGAGTGGCGCGACCAGGATGGCCTGCGTTGTTGTGTCGGTTTCCCACGTGCGGCGAAAAGAGGGGGTGAACAGGCATGAGCCAGCGTGGGGCATGCACATCGTTATGCGGATGGTGTCCATCTATTGCAAGCAGCCATTGGGGACAGCGGCTGTCATTGTGAGCGTCGACAGATTGCCGCACCTTGGCGGCGCCAGCCACCAGCGCATCTGTCGTGCCGTCCGCGGCATCAGAGCGGCGATCAGCCTGCGCAGTGAGAGGTTCAACATGTCTTTGTAACCATCCTCATGGCCTACACCAGGACAAGCCAACTCAAAACGCGTGTTGGAGGGATTCTGCGCACCTTGCAACTTACCGCCCTCTGCAGCAGCCCGTCGCCACATAAACGCGGCTTAGACGAACCAGTAATGCCCTTTGTCGCACGCCAGCCCGTCCGCGCGGAGCCCGCGCCGGACACTGAGTTGGCGAGCATCTCGGCAAGCACTGGCTCGGTCTAAAAACCGATGTAAAGGTGACACACAGCAGCGAGAAATAGGGAACGAAGGGGGGTCAGTCATGCACGTGTGGTCAAAGCCCCCACAGAAACACGCACCGGTTGATTGTGTGCTCTGCTGTGCCCTCTCGACCCAAGCAGCCGCCACGGTTGCGCACCTGGATGCACACATTGGATAGGCTAAACGGCTTGTTGCACATGTAGTACACGCATGTGCCATGACCAAGTGTCCAATCGGGTGCCCAAGCTGGGATCCCCATCTCTCTCTCTCTCTCGTCTGAATGACATCAGCAGATCTGATTCCGCACAGCAGCAACAGGTGTGTATGTGGTGCAGACTAAGTCTTATGCCCTGTTGTTTGTGACTCTCAACTAAGAAATTCACCATACTGCACAGCGCCAGACATGGCTCCCTCCTTGAACAACAAAGTGGTACTACGTTACAAAAATCAAAAGAACTCCTCCCAAACTCAGCAAGATATATGCATGCTGTACGCAAAGCCTGTATACAACAGCCGTCGCGTTGACTTGAAGTGAGGCGTGGCGCATTAATGGCACACTCGTGTGTGGCAGTGCTTGAACTCCCATGACTCAGCACACCCACTCAGAAGCCAGACCGCCCCACATCATTCGTCTCACCAAGTGGCCGGGCACAATCGTCGAATCAGTCATTGAAAAGCATTAACAGCGTTTCTTGTAGGCCGCAGGCGCCCCGGCCGTGTTGAACGGCCAAACACTGCACTGTTTGGCCTCACGCTGATGTCACAACCGAGCCCAGCCAGCCGGCCGTCCCAGTAAGCAACCCCCTGACCCTTGCAGACCCGAGTACGAATCCGCGCCGCAATGGCGGCGCTGGCGCGTCCCATTTCTGGAGCGCAGCACGTCTTTTACGGCATGCAGAGGATGCTGCTGCTTTGTGTCGGGCGGCGCGGCCAGGGGGCCGCAATTGCGGGGATGGGGCCATAGCCGCACGGGCTGATCTGGCCAAGACAAATGCGAAGCTGCTGGAAACCCGTCTCCCTTGACAGCCCAGTCGTCCAGAACTGGGACCCAGCAGCTCGGCGGAGTGCAGTCAAGCCCGCCCTCGCCCTCTCACACCTGCAGGCGCCCCGCGCCCCGCCGCCACCACACCCTCAGCCGCCCGCCCACCCGGCGTTGCCGCGTCGCCGCCGCCGCCCGCGCGGCGCCGCGCCGCGGGCCGCTCCGTCGGCTGCTGCGGGGCGCGTCACAGCTTGCTGGTCGGGGCGGGCAGGTGGCGCACGCTCCTGCCGTCGTCTTTCGACGGTGGCAAGTCCAGGGCCGGGTTGGCGCGGAAGAAGCCGTGGGGCCGCAGGCTGCAGGGACAGGATGGTCAGGTGAAGATTGGGGGGTGCGGTGGGTGGGGTAGAGGCTGAGGTTGCCGCGCGGCCAGTTTGGCGCAAGGGGAGGAGACGCGCCTGTTTACCCCGCAGCGCGTCATCCAGAGATGCGTGCGGTGCACCGCAGCCGCAAGCTCGGCCACGCCTGCCGCGCGGGGCCGGCGGCCCGATTTGGACCGCGCGATTTCGAAATCACCATGCGACAGCTGCGAGGTCGGCGCCCACCTGAACCCTGTACTGTCGTAGGGCATGATAGGGTAGTCCTCCGGACGCACCTAGTGGATGGGAGCAAACAGGACGAAATCAGAAAATGTTAGGGGTTGAATGCTGGGGCAGGCGCGGGGGCGATGCGCCTCAGGCGCGATTTGATAAGCACGAGAGATGCCGGAACGGCAGCCCAGCGGGAGAGGGAGAGCCCTCCTGGGTGGCTGGCGGCGGCTCCCCCAGCTCTGCGCGCCATAAGGCGCACGACTGCTTTGCGGGCCGCCTTTGATGGGGCCGGGGGCGCTTCCACGCGGGCGGTGGAGTGGAACGGAACTGCCCCCCAGAGGGGGTGCGGCGGGGGCTGTCACACATGAGCAGCGCGAGGGGCGCGGGCAGCGGCGGCGACGTGCAGCAGCAACTCAAATGAGCCGGGCTCACAAAGTGTGTGAATGCAAAGGTGAGCCAGACCACCGGGTCCTGGCCCAACAGGGAGTGGTCCTGGGGGTGGGGGTGGGATGGCAATCAGGGGCAGCGGCAGTGGGGCCGGGCGGCAGGAGTTTTGACCCGGTCAAACCAACCGCGCTCAGAGCCATGACATGAGGCATGCGGCGCAACGCCGTGCATGTCGGCTGCACAAACAGAATCATGTCTGCATGTGTTTGCAAGTACGCACGCATGCACCCGCGCGACGCGTGCATGCCGCGTCCATGCTTGAGCGCCATATTCATGCGTGTGCATGCTTGTGCATATCTGCATGCGTGTTCGCCACGTGTCTCCTGCACAAACCTCCTTGGTCCACTCTGCCAGGCCAGAGTCCTTGTCACTCTGGAACACGTAGTTCCCCGCAGGATAGCTGAGGTATGATTTTGCAGGGGAGAAGGTGGCAAGAGGGGAATGAAGGGTCACGGAAGAGGTGTCCGTGTATTGTTGATTTTGCTTTGGGGCCCGTCAATCGAGGGAGGAAGGGTTGCAGGGTCGTGGGGTTGGTGCGCACAAGATAAGGGCCAAGGAAATGAGAGCGGGGTGGAGGTCTGTCGTGGGCGGGAGGTGATGTCATCGGTAGAGTCGTGTCGCAGGGATGACAGCGAGTCGCAGCGGCAGCTGAACGGCGCCGTGCACGAACAAAACACTGGCAGTGTGGCAACGAGGGACCGCTGTCCAAACGCGGAAATGGGCGGAGGCCCCAGGGGGCAGCGGTTGGGGCCGGCCGCTTAGAACAAAACAAAAACATGGCAAGTGGTGAAAACTCTCACAGCTGGCCGTCCTTGTAGGGCGTGACGTGCAGGGTGGCGGTGGTGAACTTGCCGCGCCGCGCCACCACGCTGTCCTCGGCTGCCAGCAGCACCGGGCCCTGGAGGAGGGGCCAGGGGGGCCGGAAGGCAGGCGGTCAGAGGGTCACGCACGGTGGCTGACTAGCCTTGGGGGGCAGGCCGTTCGAGAGCCGCAGAGGGGCAGCGAGCGAGCGGGGACCTGCGTCGCCGCCCCGATACCACCCCTGCTCATGTTGTTGAGCAGCAGACCTGAACCCAATGCCAGCACCCGAGCTCAAACCCTGGAGCTGACACAGCGGATCCCGAACCTGAGCCTTGGACTCAAACCCTGGAGCTGACTCATTGGATCCCCCCCCTGGCTTTGGACTTTCAGCCCTGGAGCCCGAGCGCCTCACCCCGGGGGTGTATAAATGGTAGGCCACCGGTTTGCGGGTGAAGGGGTGGGGGCGGGCCGGGTTCTTGACGCGCCACACGCGCGCGTCCGCGGCACTGGACTGACGCCGCGCGGCGTGGACCTGTGCCCATGTGCGGGTGGAGTTGGAGGGTGGGCGAGCAGGATCAAAATCAGACTATGAAGGGTGGAGGGTCAGGCATGAGGCTTTGTATGCATCGATCAGCTCCCTGTTGGGATTAACAGCGCACATGCTGGGAGCATGCTGTGGATCAAGAGTTGTGCTATGTTGTCCCCCTTGCCTCTATGCAGGCTTCTGCACGCCAATGCGCCGCGCCGCGCATGCAAGCACTACCACACACTCACGCGCGCGTATGTGTGAGTGTGTGTGTGTGTGTGTGTGTGTGTGTGTGTGTGTGTGTGTGTGTGTGTGCATGCGCGCGCGCGTGCATGTGTGCGCGCTTGCGTGCATGCGTGTGTGTGCGTGTGTGTCACCCACCGTTATGAGGTCTGTCTCAGACTCTGTGAAGGCGTTGCCGGCCGGGTTGGTCAGCGGGTGGCTGGGGTGGCGCACCGCGTTGAGCTGTGGGTCGTGCAATGTGGTGAGCATCCAAGGTTGCAGAGGTGTCCAAGGTTACAAACGCAGCAGGAGGACATCGTGCAGTTATGGGAGATCGCACGGGAGGTGGCAGCCGGATGGGAATCATTGGAAGGTGGACAGGCACGCGCGAGGCGGCGAGTGTGGTGAGCTGCTTGCCCTGGGGCCCTCAGCTGCCCTGGGGGGTGAGGTGCTGAGCTGGCGCAGGCCCATCCACACCCGCCTCCCCTCCCCTCATTCCAGATTACTCTATGCAACGAACCCAGCGCCAAGTTGTGTTGCGCCCAAGCACCCTGCACAAGGCCGAAAAAGCCCCAGCCCGTGTTTCTCAACCCTGCACAAACACAGCTTGCTGACAACCAGGCCCCTGCACAAAACCAACGAGCCACCCATCAAATTGATTGCCGTCGGTCATCTGGAGTGGCTGGCCGCCAGGTGGCTGGCCGGCTCCCCCAAACCCCTCCACCGCACCCCGCCGACTGCGGCCCCGCCCCTGCACAATCCCCGACCACCGCTCAAAAGGGCCCTGCATAAGGCCCAAACAACCCCAGCCCCGCTGCTCTCGACCCTCACACACACACACACACACACACGCGCGTGAGCGCAGAAGCACGCATGCACACACACACACACACACACACACAAGCTCACCTCGCTGACCACCAGCCCCCTGCCGCCGTCCTCGTCGTCGACCGCCATGTCCAGGCGCGCGCTGAAAATGTGCTGGTGGGCGGCTGCGTTGACGCCCTCCGCCACCATGGTGCCATACCTGTGGGGGCGCGGGGGAATCCAGGAGTCTTACATAACTATGTTGGCAGGTGGTGCGGGCACGCACGCAAGCACGCACAAGTACGCACGTGTGCGCGTGCGCACGCACACGCGAATGCACACGCACACACATGCACACAGACGCACACACACACAATGCAGGTGCAGAGGGGCGGCACCATGATCAGGAGAGGGGCGCCTGCTGAGCAGCTGCCCGGGACGCTGGATGGCGGGATGCTCCCAGGCTTGGTGCACAGAAAAGCAGGTGTTTGACATCCGCTTTCCCAACAAACGGCGATTGCCCCCAAAACTTGCTCAACTGTGCACTCACCTTGACTTGTCGCCCTCCCCAGGCATCAGTAGGGAAGTCGAAAGGATGCCCGTCAGCTTGATCTCGTGAGAGATGGTGCCGTCCTGCCGGAGGTCACAGAGACAACAGCATGCGGGGGCAGGCGCAGCGATGCGCGTGGTGGCAGAGATTCACACTGCCACCGGAAGGATCGACTGACCGGAGGACTGGCAGCCTGAGGCGGGCGCACGCCAGCGCTGTGAAGAGACGTGCCGTGGCCTGGACGAACCGAACCTCCGAGCCCTCACGCATCATCGCTGGGGGCCTCGCTGACCCCAAGATCACGAGATCCCAAGCTCCCGAGGTTGCAAGATCACAACGCTCTACATGACTCACCTGATGCAGGTACCAGTCTGCAGAGAGGACACAACCAGGCCCGGGCAAGACAGCCCCAAAAATGGCAAGTGAAGGAAGGGCAGAAGCGGGGCGGGATCAGACAGGGAGGGTGCCACGCTGCAGCAAAGGGAGGGAGCATCCCGGCCTGCGGTACAAGCCCACACATAATGGGCAAGGTGAGAGCAGGAGCAGGATGCGAACGCAGTGCCGGTCAAACGATGGTCAACTGTGCCCAAACGCTCACAGAAGCAGTACTCGTAGTTGACCGCGGTCATGATGAACGAGATCACGAGACGCCTGGCGCGGCGGTCCTCGGAGTAACCAGTGCGGTACTGCGACGGGTGAAGGGGGAGAGGGACGGTTGCGATAAGGAACGGGAGATGGGCGACGGAATTGCGTGCAGCGACCGCGCTATTGACGCAGCCGCCGGCAGACATGCGACAATTTGGTGGCAGATGGTAACTCAAATCCGTTGCTGTGGCGCAGTCAAACTGCCTGGCATAAGACATCTCAGCCGGCCGCCCTCAAATTGGTGGGTCACCCAGGATCCTTGAAGCAGCTCTATCCCAGATATGTCACGGTGACGTTGCGATGACGTCACAATGACATCACGGTGTGTCATTGCTCACGTCCACGTGCTTCCAGAGCAGCCCTGCGTCCTCCTCGTGCAGGCAGACGGCGCTGGGGATCACCACCGGCTGGGAGGGGCGGGTGGAATGGGCAAGGTGATTACATGGGATGCCGAGTTTAGGGGACGCTGTAGTTGGACACGCCGTGGTTGGGGCGGTGAAATCCGCCCAAAACCCAAATCCCAAAGGAGGGATGTGGAGCAGCAGAGCGACAAAAGAAGGGGGACAGCCTCTGCGAGGCGCTCCGTTTGCAACGTGAGCGTGCACGGCGTTGCCGGCGTGCCACCCCGTTTTCAGGCCCCGCAGCAAATCGTTGTGCCCACGTCACGTCCATTCAAGGGGTGGTTGGAAAGGGCACCCTGTTGTTTTGCCGCCCACCCTTTCTCCGCCGGGCACCGCCTGGCCGATCCAGTGTTACGCCCCTCGACCCCATGCCGTCCATCAGGCACAAAACACAAACTCAACATCCTCATCACGCAAGTCGGCTCCGGGAGACATGCCGCGTCACCAGTATCACCCCAGATCCCCATGCAGCACCGTGGCGCCCCGCCCGCGCACCTCCCCCTGGGCGTTGTTGACCACGGCGTCAAAGTACTGGACCACCCCCAGGCAGTCGCACCCCAGCTTCAGGCTGTTGGCCGCGAAGCCCAGGCCGTAGTCGCCGGCGTCGAACGCGCACTTGCGGTTGTAAGGCGACGACGGGTCTGTCAAGGTTTTGTGGGCGGTCGGGTCGGGGTGGGATGATGATAGTTGTGGGTTTGGGGGCAGTGTTGGTGGGGTGCGTCAAATATGCTATGCAGGGCGGATGTGAGGCACCATGGCGTCACTACTGGGCTGTCAGTAAGCTTCGGGGCAAGTGGGGCGGCGGAGGGGGGGTTGACGGCGGGTCTGTGGGGGTGTGGTTGGGAGAACCCGTTGATTTGGTGCTGGTTGGTGCGGGTGAGTGGTATGTCGTCCTTGAAGAGGGGGGGAAGGGCCGTGGCTCCCCGTAATGAAGCGAAGCGGCAAAGTTGCAGCTTTGGGTACTGCGTTCTCCCTTCTCAGCACATGCTTCTCAGCACATCTTGGCAACCCCATGTTGCCCATATTCGAATTTGAACTCAACCCATTCTTGGTTTTGCGGTGATCCAGTGCAGGCACCTACATCATGAACTGGCAGCAGCTGCCCAATTCCCCTGTCCAGAGTCCGCCCTCCCATCAGCCCTGCCTCCGTCCCCCGTGACGCGACAAGCCCCGCGCAGTCCCCACCCGGACCGGCCCGCCCATTTGATGCAAAGCCCGCGCGCACCTGCGTAGGGCACGGCCATCTCCACGATCGAGGCGCGGAATACGACGGGGCGCCGGCGGCCGCCCTCCTGGGGATCTGTGTAGCCCACCTGGGGGGTGTGAGGATTGAGGGGCGGGGCGGAGGACGAACATAGGCGGCGTTTGCAGGTGGCGGAGGACAAGCGGGGTCGGATGGGCGTCCAGGTGGGGGAGGGAGGCGCTGGATGTTGTGGGTGGGGTTGGGGGGAGGGCAAGAGGAAGGGGGCGAGGACGGGAGTGGTGGTGAGAGGCAGAGCGTCTGCTTCGCGCGACACAGCGAGCAGGGCTGACCGGCGAGGAGCTGCGCGGCGGGCCCCCGTCGAGAGGCGCAAGCGATGCAGCGCCTGCCACCATCCTGGCCCAAGCGGCTCCATCGCAGCCTCGATCTCAGTCCAGGCCTCAACCCAGATCTCAGATCAGATCTCAGATCAGATATCTCAGATTGCACCCAGACAGCCTCAAGCCACGGCTCACGTCATATAGGACGAGGCCCTCCCTGCCGTTGAATCCTAGCCGCAGGTCCCACTGCTGCCACTCCACCCTCCAGCCATCCACCTTGAAGCTGGGGCCCTGCCGTTGTCGGCGGTTGGGATGGGCGGTTGGGGTGCGGCGGCTGCGCAGGACAGGGGGGTGCCGGCGTCGCATGAACCCACAAAAAAATCGCCTTGCCAGGCAGGACAAATCATCGAAGCCCCGCCACTGGTGAGTGGAACGATCGCTTGCCGACCGGCTGCCAGGCAAAAGCGACGCGGCGAGCTGCTGCGGGGAGGGTCTGAGTGCAGCCGCTCTGTGACGGCTTGGTGACCCACCTCTGGTTGCACCACATACAGCGGTTTGGGGGCCTCCCTGAAGGGCTGCTCCACCAAATCCCTGGGAGTGGAACAGACACAGTTGCGAGCACGAGAAACAAAATCATTGCGGCTGTAGAGATACGCGGGCTTGGCTTGCGGTCGCTGATAACTGCGCAGCATGAGGGAGCCCTGTGAATGCGACCAGGTGACTGCAGGGGGGGAGGGCATCCCGCTGTCGACAGAGGCAGGCAGTCGCGCGTAGAAAATGCAGCCGGGACGAGGGTACCAGAGGGGACAGTCTGTGGTGATGCACATGCCAACGCTGCGGGCTGGCAAGCGGGCAGAAGCTCCCTGCTGCCCCCCTTGACTCAGCCTCGCGCCCACCACCTTGCGCCCGCCCGCGCGGCGGCGGGCGCGCCCGCGCCCGCCGCCCCGCGCCCGCCGCCCCAGCCACACACGCAAGAAAACAACCTCAGCGCCCCTCACCGGTGGTAGTTGCCGCCTGCTGTGGGGATGTTTTTCGGGGCCTCGGGGTACGCCTCAATATCCACCACCTTGGATTTTTGAGGAGGCGACCACGGAAGTCAAACGGTGCACATGGGGGTGTGAGCAGGGGAGTGCACGAGGTTGGCAAGGGGCGGGGGGCGAGGAGGGGAGCGAGTGCGCGGTGCTGTCGGGGGCGCTCGTGCGAATAAGCAGAATGGTAGATGGAGGCGGCGAGGTCTGGGTTCTCGAGCCTCTGCTGTTCCAAGTTTTGCTCCAGGGGCGATCATCGGATGTATGCTGACCACCTACTGACCCCCTCTCACTCTGCATGCTGCCAACCAAACATCTTGGACTAGTCGTCCCAGATCATCCAGATCACCCAGATCACCCAGATCGCCCACCTGCCCCGTATTGAGGTCCACCACCGGCACCACGTCCAGGGGGCGCGCGTACTCATTGTCATCGGGGCCGAGCTTCAGGTAGGTGAAGACCTGAGATCAAGGGATTGGGGCGGTTTCGGACAATTCTGGGCAGTTTTGGACGGTTTCAGGTTTCAGGCGGTTTTGGACGGTTTCAGGCGGTTTCGATGCAGGCTGGACACATTCTTGTAGGCGACAAGCTGCAGTGTCCGGGATTGGTTTAAGAGCAGTCCTGGTGGTTTGGTGTGATCGTGATTGCAATTGAGTAGCTGTGTTCGATACGCATTTGCGCCTGCTGTGGCATCTAGCCTTCAGGCCAACCGGCACTGGTGGAGGGACCGGTTGGTGAGAGGCGCCGCCGGCCTGGGAAGGGGAATGCACCACACCCCCTCGCTCACAGGGTACCACCCGCCCTCCCGGCCCCCACCTGCATCATGCGCCCCTTCCACTTCCCAGCGTGGATGGCCCAGGGGTCGCAGGCCACCTGGGGCCGCGAGTGAGGAGGAATTGGTACGGTCGGTGGAAAAGCCGAGATCGTCTAGACACAAGGGCGAGCGTCGTTTGAGCCGGCTTTTGGGCAGGCTGGTTGCCATCGACCGGCGGAACGCAGCCGTCAGGGCACTGGCGGCCCCACAACCTCCCATCCCAGTTCCGCAGCCAATGCTGCTGCTTTTTGCAAATGGACGTCCGCACACACACGCCCCGCCACATACACACTCCAGTTCAAAATACATTCAATTTCTTTTCATATATATAATCAAAATCACGCGCGTCACCTGGTCCATGCTGACGCCGCGCTCTGCCAGCACTGCCTGCACCCTGGGGCTGGCGCGCGCGATGCGCTCCGCCTCAAGGCAGTCGTCCGGGGTGGCCAGGGGCTGCCCGCCCATGTCATTGCCGTCGATCTGTGAGGAGGGTGGCGTTGCAAATGGGAATCAGAGCTGTTTATGAAAGGGTGGAGGAAAGCTGGCCGTTTGTGGCAGCTGGAGAGCGGGCGTCGGCTGGGGAGGCTTGGGGGTGGTGTGAGGATGTGTCGAGGAGTGGATCAGGGGAAACGAGTCAGCCGCTCGGCCGAGGCCCCGCCCGCCGTCGATCCGTAACACATGTCATGATCGTGGCTCCGCGCCCGCGTGCCGACGCATCCGCCGGTTGCGCATGTGCAAAACGCTCAGGGGCAGCTGCTGGGCCGCCATGGTCATCCAGTGTCTGCAAGGGTTACTATCAGCCGGCCTCCCCTTCAGGCTGCCGCTTGCACACAGCCAAGGCCCCCACTCCCATGCATGCAGCCCACTCCCATGCATGCGGCCTGCGCTCACCGCAACCCATGAGACGACCGCCGCCGCGGCCGCGCCGGCAGCATGGAAGTGTGACAGGTCAATTGTCGCCTCAATCACCCCAAATATCGGCGGCGTCTGGAGTATGCAGAACGCGCGCCGCGGCGGCCGCGGGCCGCGGCCGTTGGTGAAACGCAGCAGGTCGGCCTTTGGGGGCTCCTGCAGGGTGATTGTGTTGAACCGCAGCGGCGGGAGGCGCGGCGCGGCGGCGGCCGCGTGCGCTCGGCAGGCGGCTGCGGCGGCGGCGACCTCCGGGGACGACAATGGATCCAGCGGGTGCGGCGGCGCGGCTGCCGTCCGCCCGGCGCATTGTTGGAGGGACGCGACGTCCATGGCAGCTGCAGCAGCGGCTAGATGCTGGCGAGGGCTTTGTTGGCGTGCAGACAGAAGCGCCGGGTGGCGTGCAGGGCAGCAGGAAGCGTTGAACTGTGCCGCACGTGGGTGGCGACTTGACTGCTCGCGCTGCTATGCACGCCAATTTTTCCGTCGACTTGAGCTGTTGCACATGCTCCCCACAAGGGCTGTCGTGCGGGAAATAGTCCCGCTGCAGCAAGATCGCGGGGAGAACACGCACAACGGAACGATGCAAATTGATGGATCGGATCAGAAGACTAGACTGCGACCTACGCTCGCCTCCAACATGGTCACCGGCCAGGTGACGCGGGTTCCTGCGGCGCCGAATGACTCGTCGTCATGTCACATGATCGGCGGCGTTCGAGCACAAGCCATCTGCGAGCAGCTTGCTCAACGACAGGGTTGTTGTTGAGATATGTGTGCGCTGCAGATGTGTGTATCGCACACTCAGCGTCGCAATGCAGCTCCAACAGTATCCACCCCATGGGGGGACGACGGAGCCTGCACAGACAGCGGGGGCTGTGCCGATAGGGGCTGTGCCGTCAGCAGCCCCACGACCCCACCAGAATTGACAATTTTGGTTAAAAATCAAATTACAGCAGCAGCTTCACCTTCCCCATACGCACAAGCAGAGAGGCAGATTCTGCCAGAATCCTTGTCAACTCCTTTCACCCTCCTGAACGCTTGGCCCACTCCTCCTGAATGCTTGGCGATTGCTGCAAGGGTGGTTATACCGGGCTTGTATGCGCCGGGCGCAACACCGCGGCACAAGGTGGAACAGAACGCGGCTGTTTCCCGGCCCCACGCCCCGGGAGGGGGGGGGGCGCTGGCCAGGGACCGGCAGGCGCGCGCCGGAGCACGCCCAGCACGATGCAGCGACTGAAGAGCAGTCACCTCGCACATGACAAGCCGTAGCAGCCTGAAGCTACTGTTCTGCTTAGATTTACACGTATCTAAGCCAAGACACACGCGCCCAGGTCCCCAAACAGGGTAATGGTCGAGCTCGACCGGGCACTGTACCCCGGATAAAGGGACGCGAATCCTCGATCAACCCTGTCCGTTTGTTGCGCTGCAGCCTTGCTCTGAAGGACGCTGAGCGCTCAGGGGTGCTTCATCGCTGCCAGGCAAGGTCACCGACTGTGTCGGCGCGGCGCTGGCTCCTGCACGCCTCCGCCCCTGAAGCCATGGCCCGTATACCACTAGTTTGGTTGGCATGTGTCTGCAATGTCCTTCATTGGCTGCTCTTTGCTGCAGGTGGCCTCCAGCAGCAGCATCCCGTCCAATCAGCCCCTGTGGCTGATTCGCTCACGCCTCTGCTCCCTCTCCCTGGCCCTGCAGGCAGTGCAGCAGGGCGCGATGGCGACCGCCGTCGAGCAGGTGGTTGCTAAACTCGAGCAGGAGATCATAGAAGTGGAGCAGAATATTGCTACAAAGAAGGCTGGGGTCAAGGATGTGAAGGACCTTGTGGAGCGAGAGCTCGTGGAGCAGGAGCTGTCAGTACTTGAGCAGCACCTGACAGTCTTATCGCAGGAGAGGCTGCTCGTATTGCAGCAGCAGCAGCAGCAGCAGCAGCAGCAGCAGCAGCAGCAGCAGCAGCAGCATCCAGGTGTGGCTGTTTTGCGCACACATGCAGGGCAGTGACACTAGCACATGACATGCCACTAAGCCTGTCATGGAACTATTCATGACCCACCTGCGAGACGCACTTTGTTTTCAACCATGTGAAAAGCGCATATCTCTGCAGCACCAGCTGCAAGGGTCAAACCAGGCGTGCAGCGCCTCATACCTTGCAGCAATTGCCACTGTATGGGGCTTGCTCGGCCGGTCGCACGTGCTCAACACGAGCCTTGCTTATCGATGGGAACTTGCGACGCGCACAAGTGTGTCTGCCTTGTGCATTGATGCCTCTGCTGACAAGCTTTGGTGCTGCTGATGCCCCGCCCGTTCTACACAGGGGGCAAGCGGACGCTCTATGAAGCGTTTGCTGCACCCCTGCCGCAAGCCGAACTCTGCCAGCCCACCGGCAGTACACCGAGCAGCTACAAGCAGAGCGACCCAGCTCCAGCAGAAGTGCTGACCTGGGACCACACAGATGCCACGGACCAAGAATCGATGCCGCTGAGCTGCAGCCTGGCCATCTACCAGGACGCAGCCAACCGCAGCCGCCGCTGGTGAGCTGTCTTGTATGTACTTGTGCCCACTGAGCGTTCACAGAGTGGCCCCTTGCTTGGCATCACAATATCCACCATGATGCGGGCTGCTCGCTCGGTGAGGTCTGCACAGCAACGTGCCGTCGTGGTCCTGAAATTGCACTTGAACTGACGCCTGCCGCTTACGCATGCTGCTGCCCTGTGGGTGGTTGCAGGTTGCCTGTCTATTTCGGCGACCTCGGGGAGCTGCACTCCGAGGGAGAAGCAGCATCCGCGCTCTTTTGCTATGTGACGCGGCCGCTGCAACGGGTGGCGCGGGAGGTGCAAGGCAGCCAGCAGGCGTGCTGGCGACTGCTGGAGCAAAGCACCATCAGACAGCGGGCTGTCAGGTTCTTTGCCACCGGCACTGCAGCAACAGAGCTTCCACAGGGCATTCACCAGGTGCGCACTGTCGTGTGTAGGCCTGCTGCTGCTGTAAGATGAGGGCCTGCAGCCCAGTACATCTCCAGCCTCGTCACGCCGCGTGATTCTGTGCTCACAAGCCAGGGCTTATGAGCATATATGCGGTCAGGGCATCGTATTTCGTGCCACCACACATTCACACATGCTTCTTTTTGCCGCAGCCTCAAGGCCGCACCTCCGCTGCAGCACAGGCGGGGCCAGACGTGATAGCACAGGCGGAGCCGGCCGCTGCAGCACAGGCGGGGGCAGACGCAATAGCACAGGCGGAGCCGGCTGCGGCAGCACAGGCAGCCCAGGCCGCAGCAGAACAAGCGGCGCCGGCCGCCACAGCGCAGGCGACGCAAGCCAGTGCCAAGCGTGCCCGACAGGAGAGCAAGGCATACTTTGCAGACACCAGCCTACAGGGCTCAGGCTCTGAGTCTGGTGCGGCGCGCGAGAAGACGAGTTTTGTTTTGACGGTGCCAGAAGAGGAACAGGATCGGGTGCGCTGCGTCTGTGTCGGCGAGGTGATGCGGCCCGGCGTGCTGCTGCCCGACGGCGACGCGACAGCTCCCCCAGACCTGGTGGCGGCCTGGCGGGACAGCCACCACCCCCTGCACGCGGCGGCGCGCGCCGTGGTGTCCCGAGTGTTCCGCAACATGCAGCTGTGGAGGATGCGCTACGGGTTCATTAGCTGCTGGTTTGCCACCTGGCTGGTGTGCTGCCCGGCAGACGGCAAGCACAGGGGCAGCCTGTACGTCAGCCCAGCCTACAAGGCGGACGACACCCGCCCCAGCGTGCTGGCGGCGCTCGCGTGGCTGCAGCTGCAGGCCCTGTACGCGGACCCCGCTGCAGTGTCTGTAGTTGTCCCGCAGCAGCAGCAGCCCGGCCCCAGGGACGGCGGCAGCGGCGCTGACGAGGAGGGCGCGGATGATGAGTCGGAGCGCTCGAAACCAGACGACAAGCCAGTCAGGTATGGTTGTGCTTTGTGTGTGCGCATGGGCATGCCGTGACCTGAGCTTGCCAAGGCAGATTTTCCGGGCTAATCTAGGTGCGTGGGACATCCGGCTGTTGTTGTTCGTGGTGGTTGGCGGCCCCTACAGCACCTGTACATGTGGTCGCTCATACTCGTCAAAGGAATGAGCCTGTGCATTCTGCTTTAGTGCCACAACCTTGACCAGTTCCAAAACTGCGATCAACCCTACTCGCAGTCGTGGCGGCGGCAGCAACCTCAGAAGCCAGCAAGGGCCGCCCCAACAGCAAACCCCCAGCACCGGTCCCCAATTCCATCGCAAGATTTGCACCGGCAGCGCCGGTGACGTTGTGGCGGGGTTATACCGCGGCACCCCTGCCGTCATCAAGCTGCTGGGGCCGGACAGAGATGGGCTGGAGGCGTTTGACCGCGAGGCGTGGAGCTACTCTTTGCTGCAAGAGGAGCAGGGGGAGGTGGTGCCCCAGCTGCTTGGCACCGGCTGGTACCCGATGGCTGGCGTGCACTACCTGGCGGTGCGCCGCATCGAGGGCAGCCCCCTGTCGGACCTGCCCACCATCCCGCCAGAAGTAGCAGCCGCCGCGGTGAGCGCCCTGAGGCGCGTCCACCGCGCCGGCGGCCCCGGCTTCCTGCACGGCGATGTCCGGCTGCACAACGTAATGCTCGAGGAGGCAGCAGCAAGCGGCGGCGCGGACCCCAGGTGCTTTGTCATCGACTTTGGGCGGGCCAGCGAGGACGGCAGCAGGGCGGAGCAGATGCAGGAAATTAGAGAACTCCAGGTGCTGCTGGCGCGCCGCTCTGCTCCCTCCGGCTGACAGCCGAGGCAGGTGCCAGGGGCTGCGGGCTGCCCGTGGCAGCGACAGAGGAGTCAGCGGCGCACCGGGTGGTGCCTAATGCCGGTCTCAGGGGGTGCTGAAGTCGTTTCAGTCAGTCACACCGGGACTGCAGTCTGTTACCGGGTGATTTGATTGGATATGCGGGGCTCCCGCTGACCCCCACCAGCTGGGGTTTGGTCGGGGCCGCCCCTGGGCCAGGTGGGTTTGAACTGGGCTGAGCTGGCATCCCCCTAATGTCACCACTGCGAGCAGCAAGATCGGTGTGAGGTTTGTTCTGACTTTGAATTTATCTGAAATTTAGATGTATTTGCTGCACAAGTGTTTGTAACACATCATGTGTCGCGATGCAGCTCCAACAGTGCTCACCCCTTGAGGTGTGCAATTGTGGTGGCGACGTAGCTGGGTCAGCTGGGCCGGTGGGGGCTGGCCTGCCAGCAACCTCGCAGCACTGCCACAACACCCGAGCTGAAAGCCAAATTATGACAGCAGCTTGACGAGGCCCACCCGCACACGCAGAGCGGCAGAGTCCGCCTGAATCCTGAACGATCATCCTGAAGCGCAGTCGTCAGTCGTCGCACTGCGTCCGTTCACGCGTCGGGCCCCGCACCGCGGCACAGACGGGCAAGCAGCGCAGGGGGCACCTGGCCGCCAACACCACGCGAGGGGGCTGGCCCCTGGGTAAGGCACCCCAGCGGGCCGCCCCAGGACTGGAGGAGCACCTGAAAATCACCAATGAGCACCTCGCGCGTCACCTCTCGCGCGACAAGCCGGAGCAGCCTGAAAACACATATTTTGATTGCTGCCAGACTGCAGCCTTCATCCGCAACTCACTAGCTGCAAGTCTGCGAACAGGCCTGCCGCCCAGCTTTGCAGCACCAGTCGATAAACCCTCCCCCTTCCCCATGCCTGCGCTCTGCTCGCGGACGCTCAGGCGGGACATCTCATTATTACAGCCAGCTCTACTTCCCTTTGTGCAGCTCGAATTTCGACTCCAACCCCATGACGCTGACGCTCTCCCCCAGCTTCTCGTCAAAATCGGCCCAGTCTTCCCGCAGGTCAACCTGGTCAAACTTCTGACCGCCGCCGCCAACCGCCGCCCACTCCTCCTGGGTTGAGAGGGTTGACGAGTAGTTTGTACAGGGCTTGCGACACACCGTCAAGGTCGGCACCATGAGAGTCTATCATAGACAAGGTATGGCATGATCCATGTGACTAGCAATTGCCCTCTATTCTGCAGAGCCGCAGCAGTGTTGCAAAGCCAGAACCGCAGCAAAAGTGCCATGCACACGCGCAGGCACGGCCACATTACAGGCATGACCGCAACCACAGCCAGTGATGAGAGCACCTGCCTCAGCCACAGCTGTGCACAACCGTCATGTGCAGCTGTTCATACGCACCTAACCAGCAAATACCCCTCACCTCTGGATGGTACGCCACCGGCTCTAGGCCACGGCACTCGAAGGCGATGACAGGCACCCACTTGCCGTTGTCCTCCTCTGCAGTTGCGACGCGGCCGCCGGTGTCACGATGGCGGCGCACGCATGCCACTGAGCAGAAGCTCGCATGAAAACAGGGTGCTGCAATACTTGCCGTGCCATTTGGCGCGCCCCTGCTGCTATGAAGCACCTGCACACATGTCACCGAACAGCCGTTTACTCACCCGTGATATCTCGGGTGACGCCCTTTATCTCCAATACGTTTAGGTAGGCCTCGTGCTTTGATGCCTTGTCAAACTTCATCACAAACTGAGGATGTTTTTTTTGTTAGGGCGGTGCGTGCCAGCCAGAGTCACACGGCGTGCCCAGCAGCGTCGACGATGCCCCGCAGCAGGTGCAGCAGTTGTTCCAGGGTGCGCTGCCATGCAGGACACGTGACAAGTTGGGCGGCTGCCGCTGCACAGAGGCCAAGCTGACCTGCCTCCGAAGGCGGTCGAGCCACTCAAGCCTGCCGCACTGCACACACAAGTGCAACGCAGTCACAGGCGCCTTCAATTCCGGAGTGGTCCCCGCCTTTCAGGCTGCTGCTCTCAAATCTGCTCACGTTCGCGGTGCCCTTGCTGCCGCTGAGCTCGTGCGTGTCGTTGGCCGTCACGTACACCCCGTCCCGCTGCTCGCTGCCGGCGCTCTCCTTCACATCGATGCAGTAGTGCGCGCTCTTCTGGAGCGACAGCGTCCGCACATTCTCCAGCTCTGCCTTGACGTGAAGCACAAACGTCTGCGGACGCGTGATGCGGGCCGGGAACGGTGCGGTGGCTGATGCTGCGCGGCGAGCGCGCTGTGGCATTGGCATCGCCGCCTTGGATGGGTTGCGGGCCCGCACATGAAAGGGACAGCCACATGTCATTGATCAATAGCACTTACAGGCATATTATCAGCTGCTGCTAAGACGAGTGGATGCTCGGCAAGCGAGATCACAGATCAACCTATGCAATCCTCGAGTGACAGGCAGATTTGATGTGTTTCAGAAAGTATATTAAGGCCCATTGACTCTTTCAATATAACTTACACGACCGTACGATACTCTGGTCAATCAGCAGCAGCACGATTGGCACGCACACGACCGATGCAGCTCCGATCCTGAAACTAGCATCGATCAGAAGAGAGCGTTGTCATCGTGTAGGTGGTGCTCAGCGGCGCTGCATAGCAGGCTGCATGTGCGGTGCGCCTGGCGCAGAGGTTGCACCGTGACAGCACTCCAGCGAAGACGGCCATCAGCTTGCGTCAGCCAGCAGCACAGCAGCATCAGGGGGCGGCTGTCAGCGGCGCGCAGCGGCCATGGCGGGCCCCAACCCCCAGGTGCAATACACCATGCAGCTGCACAGCCGCGCGCTGGTCCCCGTGACCGGGCAGCGCAGCAAGTCGCAGTGGCTGGTTGGCAGCACGGCGCTACGTGAAGAGAACGAGGTGAGCTCATAGGCATGCGTCGGCGCTCCCACGCGATCGTCGCATGGTAGCGCTGCATGCAGCGGGATCAGGGTTGATTAATTGGCGAAACCCCAGGCCCGAGGCGCCGCGGCAGCGCGCCACAGGTGCAGCAGTTGCCAACGCATCAATCCCTGCACGCTGCGTCACCCAAACTCAACCCCAAGCCTCACAATCGCACACCTCACAAACGCTGCATGCAACTCGGCCAAAGGTGCGGCTGCTGGAGTACGACTCAGACCAGGAGGTCCTCCGCAGCGCCGCCGCGTGGCTGCACCCCGACGAAGTGTGGGACGTCGCCCCCTGCCCCCTCGCCACCGAGCGGCTGGTGACCGTGCACAGCAAAGGTGCAGCGGCCGCCGCCCGCCGCCCACCGCTCGCCGCCCTGAAGCGCCGCGCCGCGCAGCGCCTCGTCCCGCGCCGCGGCGGGCACCCAGCCTGGGAAGAAGCGCCCGCGCGCCGCCGCGGACGCGGCCGCCTGCTGTGGTGGCCTGCCCGACATTGTAACGCGCGCTCCCGCCCGTGCACCACCCCTGGCGCGCGCAGCCGGCAAGTATGGCGCGACGCTGTGGCAGGCGGAGCCGGGCAGCCATCAGCTGCGGGAGCTGGCTGGCATGGAGCACACAGGCGTTGTGCGGAGGTGCGCGGGTTTCTGTCTCATCAACGGCCACCAGCGCGGGCCGCCGGAAGGGCTGCGCCTGCCTGGGCGGCTGGCGTGGTTGCGGGCCGGGTCGCGGGCGGCCGCCCGCGGCGGGGACAGAGGACCCCTGCGCTATGCCATACCTTGCTCAATCGGCCAATCTCGGCGTGGCCCCGGCTGTCAGCCCCGCTGCCTAGTTTGCAGCTCCCACGCACCGGACAGGTGCATGGTACATGTTTAAATACATGGTGAGCGCAAAATGCACCCGCGGCGCCCACGCGCAGGGCCCTTTGGAACCGCCTGGCGCCAGACATGCTGATAACTTTGGAGGAGGGCGCCCTCCGAAAGTGGCAGATGGGCGCCGCCGACGCGCAGTGCGTCGCCTCGGGTCCGCCGGGCGACGGGCGGCAGCTGTGGGGCGGCGCGGTGCACCCCAAGAACGCGGGACTTGCGGCGGCGGTGGCGGGCAGCAGCGTGCAGGTGCGCGGGCAGGGCCGCGGCGCTGTGGCGCGGCTCCAGCTCTGGGCGTGAGGGCGAGGGGGCAGGCGGCAGTGCACCATCTTGCCTTCGCGACTTGGCGGTGTTCTTGTGCATATCAGCAACTCACTATCAGGGGCTGTGAGGTCATTCATGCCTCATATGCACGTGGCGATTGCAGCCACCGGGCGCTCCACCAGGCACCCAGCGTGTTCACGACCGCTCGCCCCCTTGCTGCCTCTCGCCCTCAGCTCCATGGTGTGTTCATTCTATGTCATGTCAATCCCTTGCGCAACCCCCAGATCTGGGACATCCAGAATTGCTGCAAGGTGGGGGAGGTGCCCGGCGCCCACAGGCTGCCGGCGCGCGACGTCGACTGGGCGCCGCACAACGAGCACCGCCTGGTGACGTGCGGCGACGACTGCAGGCTGCGGTTCTGGGACACACGGTGGGCTGGGTTTCAGGGAGGGGGCGGCGGCCGTGGGAGGCGACGTTGCGCCGCAGCGTGCGGGCTGGCTAGCCCACTGAATACGGCCAGGTGCATGCGGTGTTTTTTCCACGGATTTTCGGAGGCGCTTGGCTGCCGCGTATGTGAGCAGGGTTGGTTTTGGCGCCCAGTCCAGGCTACGGCAGTGTGACGGCAACCCCTTGATGTTTTATTACCTTGCAGGCAGCAGCAGCCTATCCCCACTCCTGGGCCGAAACCCGAACCCAACAACCACCACCTCTTATCTATTTGCTTCCCACACCGGCCGAACACCAATCATATGAAAGCAACGCCCTTCCATCCGCAGGGCCCTGGGCCGCGCCGAGCCCCTGCTGGAGCTCAGCGGCCACAGCCACTGGGCCTGGGCCGCCCGTTTCTCCCCCTTCCACGACCAGCTTCTCGCCAGCTCCTCCAGCGACTGCACGGTCAGCCTGTGGTACACGCCCGTCCTCGCGCGGCAGCGGGACGCGCCGGGGGAGACGGGCGCGCGCGTGGTCCCGTCGAGGTGCGAGTCTGGCCGCCGCCGGCTGCACAGGGTTTCCGCTTCATTGATGTCCAGGGGGGGCTGAAGCGGGGGCCGGAACGGGTCAGACTGGAATGTCCTAGGTTCCGCCTGCCTTGTGGCGCGCCTTCCCCCCCAAAGGCGCCCGACGCGTGTCCGCCGGCTCCTCGAAGCCGCGGCCCGCCGCCCGCCTTTGGACATGACTCCCCACTTTCACGTTGTGCCTGGGCCTTGATGCGGACACCTCCCTCGTCCGCCACAACAGGGGGGACGCGGACGGCCGTGTTGTCACTTGGGATGAGGAGCACGAGGATAGTGTATACGGCCTGGCTTGGAGCGCGGCAGACCCCTGGGTTCTGGCCAGCATGTCTTATGACGGCCGGATTGTGGTGAATCACGTGCCCAAGAACCTCAAGTACAAGATCCTGGTCTGAGATTTGGGACGATCTGAGGTATGCGGCGATTTGAGATCTTGGGCGGTCTGAGGTCCGCGGTCTAGGCGGGCGTTGGGCACCTGGGTAGAAAGATTGTGGCCCCTAAGATGTTTTGGCTGGGCTCATTGGTGCTTTCTCCTGTGCGCGCGATCAGGCGTGATGATTTTTCGTACTAGGTAGTTCAGTCAACATGTTGTCAGTAGCACGTGTACTGCACAACAGATGTCACAGGTTTCGGCAACAACACGCGGCACTTACGCACCAATGTATTGTTTCTGGCCAGAGACAGCTGTTTCTGGGTGTCACCTGTTTGCTGCATAGCTGCGCCCAGGAGCGCAAGAGAGTAACCCGCACTCGCAGGTCCCCAGGGGCCGGTTCAGCGCCTGCGCCGCTCAACGTAGTGATGGCTGGACGCAGCTGGCTGCGGCACGCCCACTCCGTGTTTGCTTGTGGTCAGACTCCCTTGTTGTTGGGCCTCTGACGTCCCAGACACCCAAAGCTGCAGACACTCTCGCCATTCCCCGACGGAATCCCTCCCACACCGCCGCCAAAGATGCCACACGGGTCCAGCTGGGAAGACTGGCGCTGCATCCCAAGCACTCCCCAGCATCTTCATCTTGGATGTTCATAATGTTTGATTCTCTTGCTGCTGTCCGTATGCCTGACGCCCCCCGCTTTGGACCGCGCTGGCTGCTGCGGCGCCAGCGTCTACTGTCGTCAAGGACCCCTTGGTGATTTAGCCCGGGCGCACTGGCTGACAGAAAGGAAGGAAAGCCGCTGGCACCACGACATCAGTCCTGACACTCTGATTGCTGTTGAACAGGCTGCAACGTATGGTGTGATGGCCGCTGCGCATCCCCCACCGCACATCCTCTGCTGTTGAGACCACTGCGCACCACAAACACGACAGGTGGAACGGTTGCTTACTCATCATCATTCCGCCCCTCCTTCCGGACCAAAGAGGAGCCGCCGTCGCGCCGAGGGCCGCGGCTCCCCGACGATGGGGCCTCGCTCTGACGCACCAGAGCGCTGCTGCTGCCCCGACACAACAGCGCGCTTCCTCTCGTATTTATTGGGCCTTTCCGGCTGCGCCGCCGGCCTCTGCCCCGTCGGCTGCGGGGCGCCCCCCAGCTTTAGCCCCAGCCGCGCCGCCTCCCGCGCCAGCACCCGCAGCTGGACCTCGTTTATGACCGTCACTGACTCCCCAGGCGCCCCCATGCGGCCCGCGCGGCCGGCGCGGTGCGCGTAGGTCTTCCAGGTCCGAGGGGCGTCGAGTTGGATGACGAGGTGCACCCCAGGCAGGTCGAGCCCGAGGGCGCCCACGTCAGACAGCAGCAGCAGCTTCCGCTCGGGTCCCAGCGCGGCGAAGCCCGCGACCGCCTGCTGTCGCTGCTGGCCCGTGAGATCTCCGTGCAGCGCCGAGACCTGTTTGTTTGTAATGCGATGCGATGGAATTTTGTCGTTGATGTGACATAAGCCGGGGCGCGAGCATGCCGTGTGGGGGGCGCGACGCGGCGGAGCGGCGTCGGCGCTCGTTGCGCGCCGAAAGCTTCCGCCGCGCCGCCCGAGGCTGCCGGCGGCCGCTATGCGAGAGGCGGTGCGCGTTCCATGATTGCGAAAGTTCCTCCATATGCAATCAGGTCGGTGTCTTGCTTGATCCACTGCCTGTACTAATGTGGGACTTATGACCACAGCCAGCAGTCCATAGTACCCAGTCTGCAGGTTTGCAGGCAGACCCACCTGCCAAGAGCTCTCCTCCCCGGCCTCCATCATGCCGATGCGCAGCCGCCGCGCCGCGTCCGCGACCTTGCCCGGGGTCTCGAAAAAAGCCAGCACCCGCCACCCCGCGCCGCGCTTCGACGCCAGCAGCCGCTGCAGCGCGTGCACGCGCGCGCCGGGCGCGGTGTCGGGCGTCTGCCTTGGGACGAGGTAGTATGTGTGCTTGAGGTTCGGCGGAAGTGCCGTCTCCGGCGCCGACGCCGTTTCCGGAGCCGGCGCCGGCTCCGTTGCCGGCGCGGCTTCCGGCGAGGGCGCCGTTTCCGGCGACGGCGGCCCTTGGTCTGCCGCTCCCGGCTCCTGCGCCGTCGCGGCCGGCGCCGCCGCAGCCACAGGCCGGGCCTCCTGCGCCGGGACGAGCCCCGGCGCCGGCGGCGGGCCGGGGGCGCGCACCAACCTGATGTCTTGAGTCGACCACTTTGCAAACGCCTTGACCGTCGCAGGCTGCAGGGTGGCGCCCACCAGCACCAGCTGGTAGGGCAGCGGCCGCGGCTCGGCAGCGCGCGCGAATTCGCCCTTGGCGCGTCGCTGCGGCGCGGCGTCCTGCCCCTCTTCGCTGTGCTGCTCCTGCTGCTGCTGAGGCTCTATCTCCTGCTGCTGCTGCTCCTGCTGCTGCTGCTGCTGCTGCTGCTGCTCCTGCTGCTGCTGCCGCTGCTCCCGCTGGAGCTGCCACGTGCGCAGCAGCTCCTGGGCGTCCATCGATTCCACAAGCCTCGACCGCTGGTGCCTGGGCGCCTGCGCCACCGACAGACGCGCCAGCAGTGCCTGGGTATCCTCCATATCCCACAGCGTGTCCGCCTGGCAGACGGAAAGCGGGGAGCGGGCAGGTGAAGCGGCGGCGCGCAGGGGAAGCGCAGACATGCGGGCGGGCGGCGCAGCTGAGCGGTGTGCACCGGCCCGAGCGAGTGGATGGCCAATCCATCCACTTAAGCTGTGCAATAAGTGGACCCAGAGCTCATGTCCACCCCCGCCCTCTCTCTCTCTCTCTCTCTCTCTCTCACACACACACACACACACACACACACACACACACACACAC